GGTCGGGTTGCTGTGGGGTGGGGGGGGGGGGGTGTCACCTTATAATGAAGCTCCAGAGCGCCCCCACTCTGACATCTGTGTGTACTACAACGACTCGCAATGGAGCCTCCAAGTCACAACATTGATACTTTGTTAATGTTCAATAAAAAAATGTTAATGGTCCAGATTTCCAGGGGCTGCGATGTTCCCGGAGCTTGTACGTTCTCTATTACTGGTCAGGCAACGGTAGGGGAGTGTCACATGACTGCGGCATTTGCTGGATTCCCCCTCCTTTCATCAATCCAGATCATCATTTACATCTACGGTGTGTCATCAAACGATCTTCCAGACAGAGTGACAACGCAGCAGCAAATTGGGAGACAGGGGCAGAGCGTTGTCACCCCCATAACAGGAAGTGTGAACTTTAGGGCTGCTGCACGTTCTGAATTATTGCACAGAGATAACATATATGAATGTGTGGATGGATGGGGGCCGAATGTGGCATTGTACTAACGTAAGCTTGTACTGCCCCACTGTATATGTCAGCGCTATGTGTGTGCGGCGTCTGTGGTTGGCACTGGGCTGCTCTCAGGCAATGTGCATCAGCCCCGATGGAAGCTATTCTGTCGGTTTAATCTTTTCTCTGCGTTTCCTTCTTCCAGAAAGAGCGGTTCTGCGTGTATGAGGAGTATTGCAGCAACCATGAGAAGGCGCTGAGATTGCTAATGGAGCTGAACAAAGTTCCCAACGTGCGCGCCTTCCTGCTGGTGAGTTCCCCCGATCAATATTATTATCAATACTTCTATCCGTCCCGGGACCGGGAGTGTGAAACCCGCCAGCTGATCGGAAGATCGAGACGTTCCCGAAAATGTAAATTTTATTGGTGTACTGGTACTGACTGGTCCAAACTGGGATGTTATCAGCCCCCCCCATGGTCCAGCATAGGACACCATAGAGGATTCTGGGTACTGACTGGTCTAAACTGGGATGTTGTCAGCCCCCCCATGGTCCAGCACAGGACACCATAGAGGATTCTGGGTACTGACTGGTCCAAACTGGGATGTTGTCAGCCCCCCCCCATGGTCCACACAGGTCACCATAGAGGATTCTGGGTACTGACTGGTCCAAACTGGGATGTTGTCAGCCCCCCCATGGTCCAGCACAGGACACCATAGAGGATTCTGGGTACTGACTGGTCCAAACTGGGATGTTATCAGCCCCCATGGTACAACACAGGACACCATAGAGGATTCTGGGTACTAGATCACATGGCGCGTAGATCACATGGCGCGTAGATCACATGGCGCGGAGATCACATGGCGCGTAGATCACATGGCGCGTAGATCACATGGCGCGTAGATCACATGGCGCAGAGATCACATGGCACGTAGATCACATGGCGCATAGATCACATGGCGCGTAGATCACATGGCGCGTAAATCACATGGCGCAGAGATCACATGGCACGTAGATCACATGGCACGTAGATCACATGGCGCAGAGATCACACGGCTCGTAGATCACAAGGCGCGTAGATCACATGGCGCGTAGATCACATGGCACGGAGTGGAGGCGTGGATGAAACGAGAGCCATGTGTTTCTCATGGTCACGCTGCGTAGGCGGTTTTCTTGGCAGAATCGTCTCCTCGCTCCACACGTCTCCTTGTGATCCTCCCAACGCATTGATCGAGTCATGCAGGATAAAAGCATGGTCATGGCCTCTACCATATAAAAGGTACGTGCGGCATTTAAAGGAAACCTCCACTGACCTCCTCCTGAACATTCTGGTATCACCTGGAACAAGCATGAAGCATGTAGCTAGTGAAGTCACCCCTCCTGCTTGTTCCATCGGGACATGGAGAATGCTGATTGGTTGCTGCGTGTCACCGCGACTCTTCCCATTGCTCATCACCGTGACCTGTGTTGTCATTTCAGAGCTGCATGCTGCTGGGAGGACGGAAGACGGACATCCCATTGGAGGGTTACCTGCTCACCCCCATCCAGAGGATCTGCAAGTACCCGCTCCTCCTAAAGGTACCCCACCGCCTTTCTTTCCCCTGTGGCCCTAGAAGTGGCCCTCTTCTTCCAGCCTGACATACATAAGCAGGTCTGATCCTGGAATACAAAAAGTCATCATGTGTTACAGTGAAAATATACCACGCTCTGCTGCTGCATGTCTTCCCCTTAGTACCCCCCGGCCCGGCCCTGCTCCCCTCAATGTATAAATCCCATCACATGTCTTCCCCTTAGTACCCCCCGGCCCGTCTCTGCTCCCCTCAGTGGATAAATCCCATCACGTGTCTTCCCCTTAGTACCCCCCGGCCCGGCCCCCCTCAGTATATAAACCCCATCACGTGTCTTCCCCTTAGTACCCCCCGGCCCGGCCCTGCTCCCCTCAGTGGATAAATCCCATCACGTGTCTTCCCCTTAGTTCCCCTCGGCCCGGCCCTGGTCCCCTCAGTGTATAAACCCCATCACGTGTCTTCCCCTTAGTACCCCTCGGCCCGGCCCTGGTCCCCTCAGTGTATAAATCCTATCACGTGTCTTCCCCTTAGTACCCCCCGGCCCGGCCCTGGTCCCCTCAGTGGATAAACCCTATCACGTGTCTTCCCATTAGTACCCCTCGGCCCGGCCCTGGTCCCCTCAGTGGATAAACCCCATCACGTGTCTTCCCCTTAGTAACCCCCGGCCCGGCCCTGGTCCCCTCAGTGGATAAACCCCATCACGTGTCTTCCCCTTAGTACCCCCCGGCCCGGCCCTGGTCCCCTCAGTGGATAAACCCCATCACGTGTCTTCCCCTTAGTACCCCCCGGCCCGGCCCTGGTCCCCTCAGTGGATAAACCCCATCACGTGTCTTCCCCTTAGTACCCCTCGGCCCGGCCCTGGTCCCCTCAGTGGATAAACCCCATCACGTGTCTTCCCCTTAGTACCCCTCGGCCCGGCCCTGGTCCCCTCAGTGGATAAACCCCATCACGTGTCTTCCCCTTAGTACCCCCCGGCCCGGCCCTGGTCCCCTCAGTGGATAAACCCCATCACGTGTCTTCCCCTTAGTACCCCCCGGCCCGGCCCTGGTCCCCTCAGTGGATAAACCCCATCACGTGTCTTCCCCTTAGTACCCCTCGGCCCGGCCCTGGTCCCCTCAGTGGATAAACCCCATCACGTGTCTTCCCCTTAGTACCCCTCGGCCCGGCCCTGGTCCCCTCAGTGGATAAACCCCATCACGTGTCTTCCCCTTAGTAACCCCCGGCCCGGCCCTGGTCCCCTCAGTGGATAAATCCCATCACGTGTCTTCCCCTTAGTACCCCTCGGCCCGGCCCTGGTCCCCTCAGTGTATAAACCCCATCACGTGTCTTCCCCTTAGTACCCCTCGGCCCGGCCCTGGTCCCCTCAGTGTATAAACCCCATCACGTGTCTTCCCCTTAGTACCCCTCGGCCCGGCCCTGGTCCCCTCAGTGTATAAACCCCATCACGTGTCTTCCCCTTAGTACCCCTCGGCCCGGCCCTGGTCCCCTCAGTGTATAAACCCCATCACATGTCTTCCCCTTAGTACCCCCGGCCCGGCCCTGGTCCCCTCAGTGTATAAACCCCATCACGTGTCTTCCCCTTAGTACCCCTCGGCCCGGCCCTGGTCCCCTCAGTGTATAAATCCTATCACGTGTCTTCCCCTTAGTACCCCCCGGCCCGGCCCTGGTCCCCTCAGTGGATAAACCCTATCACGTGTCTTCCCATTAGTACCCCTCGGCCCGGCCCTGGTCCCCTCAGTGGATAAACCCCATCACGTGTCTTCCCCTTAGTAACCCCCGGCCCGGCCCTGGTCCCCTCAGTGGATAAACCCCATCACGTGTCTTCCCTTCACTTCCAAGCGGAACAAAAATCCTCCACCGAGGGGACATGTGGAAGGATAATATCCATGTGTATGGTGGTGGGATTGTTGTCGTGTTTCACATAGTGTGGTTGTCACATAGTGTGGTTGTCACATAGTGTGGTTGTTGTGTTTTTATCCGGATTGCGGAGATTCATTGTGTAGTGTCTGTGGTGGTTTAGTGGGGCATGTGTGTCATTGTGTAGATGTAGGGTGGTGTGGAGCGGCACAGCTGGATGGTATTGTGTGATTGGGGATTGTGTGGTTGTGTAGTATTGTAGGGTTGTGTAGTATTGTAGGGTTGTGTAGTACTGTGTAGATTTGCATAGCTGTACAATAATGTGACAGGGATTTGATGTAGTTGTATAGTATTGTGTGATGAGGGAGGTTTTATAGTAATGTATGATGGTGTGTTGTGTAGTAGTATCAGGGTGGGCTGTTGTGTGACTGGGAAGTTGTATAGTATTAGGGGGTTGTGTAGTATTGCATGATGGGGGTGCTGTGTAGCTGTATAGTAATATGTGACTGGGGTGTTGTGTAGTTGTATAGTTGTGTGGGGTGTAGAATTGTAGGACTGTGATGTTGTATAACGCTGTGGGTGTACGGAGGTGTTGGGTGGTCCAGGCATTGTATAGCATTGTGTGGTGCAGCATGGGGATTGCGGTGTATTGCCGGTTTACAGTCCTGTGTGTGATTTGTGTGATTGTGGAGCTGTGTACATTGTGTAGCTGTGCGCCCCCATTATAGAGAGCGGCGGGGATTGGGGGTGAGTGGGTCCGGTGCCGTGGTGGCCTCTCGGTCTTCTTTGTAATGCCGGTTTAATTGGACAGATGTGATTGTATCATGAGGGTGATGGCAGAAGAATCCGGGGGTTGGAGGGGGGGGTATCTGATGTATACATAGTATCCAGTCTAGAGGAAGTGTTCCTGTCTGGGGATTCCCCGATCTTCTAGGAAATGTTTCATCTTCCTCATGTTGGTGAATATCACACGTCATCCATCCATCATCCTCATCATCATCCTCATCATCCTCATCCTGGTCTGTCCCCCATAGGAGCTGGCAAAGAGGACGACCACCAAGCACCCCGACCACCAACCTGTCCAGAGCGCCCTGCAGGCCATGAAGGCCGTCTGCACCAACATCAATGAAACCAAAAGACAAATGGAGAAGCTGGAGGCCCTGGAGCAGTGAGATATCTATTTTACATGTATAATATGAGATTCTTTGTATTCAGTCTCCTTGTTTCCTCTGTGGAGAGTTTGGAGCTCAGTGATCCCCTTTTGTGGGATGATTAGATAAAGATGGAAGCTTCCGGATTGCCGGAGACTCGATCTGTATGTGTATGAGAGATGTGAGGACTCCTGAACTCCTCCATCTGTAATAAGTTCTCCAATAAAAGGGGATCAATAAACGTTGTGCGTCCGTCCCTGGCCAGCAAGACTCGGCCCAATGCGAGTGACGGGGAGAGCCCTCAGAGGAGGGGCCGGGGTGCTCAGAGGATTCCTCATCTGGTCTTATCACCCCTCAGGGCTCCAACCTGACCGACATCTGTACCCAGCTGCTGCTGCAGGGGACGCTGCTGAAGATATCGGCGGGGAACATCCAGGAACGCATGTTCTTCCTCTTCGACAACCTCCTCGTCTACTGCAAGCGGAAATCCAGGTACCGAGGGGTTAATGTATCTATCCATTTCTGTACTACCTGTGTGTTGTCGCTGTCAGTTTTTGGGGTTCACCTGACCTTCCTCGATTCCCCCCTTTCAGGGTCGCTGGGAAAAAGTCCACAAAAAGGACCAAATCCATTAACGGCACGTTGTACATCTTCCGCGGGAGGATCAATACGGAGGTGATGGAGGCGGAGAACGTGGAGGATGGGACAGGTAATGTCTTTGCCTCTCTATGTGGTCATACTGGATGTTGTTCTTCTGGGTGCCCCTCCGCAGCCCCTCCCGCCTGC